GGTGTAAATATATAATGATTAGTATAAACATTGATGAACACAAATACAAACGTTGCAGCATGGAGTCAAATGCTGTCAGTCCTTGTGACAAATTTTTTTTTTTTTTTTATATTTATTATTATTATTATTAATACAAAAAGCACAAAGAAAGAATATTAGTTGTGGCTTTAAATATTTTCTTTACTTTAAGATGATTTCAGCAGTGTTACTTCCAGCAGGTGGCACCCTTACATTTTTTACATTTACATTTATATTTATATATGTGGAATTTTTACATTTATATACATATAATATATAAAATATGTATTTACATATATATTATATATATATACTGTATGTAAAAATTCTACAGCAATGTAAAAACAAACCCACACTTCTCTGCAGTATAAAACCGCTCCCAGCTGATACAGGTCGGATGTGTCCTTGCTTCCTACCCCGTGACGTCACAGTGATTTAAGGTGGTGAAGGTAAAAATGGATGCACCGCTGCCGTGTGTGGGTTTCCCTGCTGTGCAACACGTGGGTTTGTAAAACAAAAAGAAAAGTCAGAGTGAATTCCTGCCTGAGAAAACAATGGCAGTGTGTCAGTCTGCCTGACAACCACTCTCACCTTCACTCACACTCCGTGTGGGACAGCCCGGCCGTGAGGACAGCTGGCGGGCTGAGACACTGGATGTATATCTGTGTTTGTGTGGATCTGGGTTTATGTCTGTCTGTGTGTGTGTGTGTGTGTGATCCTAAGAGGTCAGGGGTGAAGCTGTGTTTCACAGAGAGCCACGTTGTTCTCCTCCCAACAGGAAGGGAGGGCACTGTCCATATGCTGTCTTCACTCACACACACACACACACACACACACACATAGAGGTTCACACGGTCACACACACCATACAGACTGGTCAGAAATTCCAACAGGTACACACACACACACTGTAACGTTTCTTTCTAACTTCCTCAGACTGCCCCCCCCCCCAACATAACAACATGTATTTGTCATTTAAAGCCTACAGTATAGTTTGTGTAAAAACAAAAAGGATCAAAAAGCTAAAGCTAAATATCATTAGCCCAGAATATAGCATAAAACTAATGGAAATATAAAGAATATTCATAACTGTTAGCCACAGGTGGACAGTTTAGAATTTAGAAAATAACTTGAAACTTAATAAGATAAAATATTTTTTATTTCTCTTTTCAGTTCTAAGGTTGTTTTTTTCTGCCATGGCTCAGGCGCTAGTTACGGCTAATTTGAAAACAGAAGCCAAGGAAGGAGTTCCCTCCCTTTAATATTTCCACTAACGCGTTGAGACTGGTGTAGTTACAGTTTGGTTTCACGTGAAGGCACTATTTTTCAATCACCAGCTCAGTGTAAATGTAGCCTCGGTGCTAAAGCTGTTTAGGACAGCAGCGTGAAAACTGGAGACTGCGCTGTAAAAATGAAGACGCTCTCCTTCGCTGCCTTCTGTCACTCTGTACTCTCTCCTGCCCTCTCACTGAAACACTTGCACTTTTCATTTGCCCCCATGACAGACAGAGTGGGGGAGAGGGTGGGGGTGAGGGTGAGGGTGGGATGGAGAGCTAGCTTGATCACGTACGAAAAAACAGTCGCAGCCCCTGTAGAACGATGACATCATCTCAAGAAAGGACCAATGAACAGATGATGGGAATGACCAGGAGATCCAAGCAGTTTGTCAGGCAACCCTGTGTGTGTGGCAGGGGTGGGGGGGGGGGGGGGGTGGGGGGGTGAAGGGGGGGTCTCTGATCACTTGTTTATACTGACTCGATGACACACGTCTCACCTTTACACATTACTTTTACATCTCCCTGCAGGATCCAGACACTGTGTGTGTGTGTGAGCAGCCAGCTACATACAGCTGTGGCCTCACACTCTTTGACACCACAGTTATAGGCTTTACAAAGGCAACACACACTCCTTAAAGTTTACTGCATCGATAGGACATCTGTTCTTTGACACACGAAAACACTCACCCACACAGGCCAGATCAATACGTGCACACCGACCATGTTCATCTTCTGACCCCAGCTCTCAGACTTGAACAACACAACTATGAGACCAAGTTACCAGAGAAGAGTCCAGACCAGGTGAGGGCAGACGTTTTGATTCGTGGGCCACGATTGTCTTAAAATTGATCCCAGGGAGGTCAGGAGCAGATAGATGGAGTGATAAAATGTTTTTATCATGTTCTACACCATCTATTGGGAAAACATGGGTATTGCAGGGAAAAGGCAGAAGTACATATATTGATAATATGATGATAAAGAAATATATAATTATTGGAAAAGTTTGTTGGGCCGGATTAAAATGCTGAACGGGCCGTATCCAGCCCCGGGGCCTTAGTTTGTCCACGCCTGGTCTAGTCTGTGTTTGTACTCAGGGTCTAAGTTCCAGGAGAAAAGTTTGAATTTAAAATCCATGTGGATTGAGTCTGCGTAGTGTCCCTCTCCGGGGGGGTTTTTTTCTCGCTCCATCTCAACAACACTGCCCTCTAGTTCCTTAACTTCCTGAAGGGAAGTACAATTGTCAACAACTATGTTTGTCAGAATATTTCTGGACCGACACTTTAGGGGCCGAACAATCACATAAAATGAAATAAAAATCAATTTTTTCCCCTTTGTTTATTTTTGAATCCAGTCGCGGGCTGGATCGGATTGTTTGGTGGGCCAGTTTCAGCCCACAGGGCTGGATCGGATTGTTCGGTGGGCCAGTTTCAGCCCATGGGCCGCCAGTTGATCACTGCCATACACACACCACATTTCTCGCAGTGGACGAATCTACAGAGAACAAAGATGATCCAAACGAAGAGGCAACAAGGTCGGACACTGTGGAAAAGTATTCTCTCCAGAGCGTGTACTCATGAATACTACACACAGGTTTCTAATAATACCACATCAGACACCGCGACTGTAACATGACAAAAAGGGACATTACAAAGAAGGGCTGTGTGTTTTTATTCCCTCACTTTCTTGGTCCTGTTTTCAATGTATGGCATGGGTTCCAAATACAGACTGACGTTCACGGTCCATAATGTGAAGGCTGCTTCGTATTATCACTGCGTCGGAGTCTGGTATGAACCACAGCCCTGTCACAGAGGCCACACACTGGCTCCTCTGGGTTAGCCTTTCACTTTGGATTAATAACAGCAGAGCAATAGAAGAAAGACAAAAGGAAATCTGGGACAGAATTACATGAGCCGCCTCACTTTAAAACTATGTATCAAGGGCAGTGGTTTTCAAAGTGTGGGGCGCCAAGGCTCTTGAGGGACCCCACCACTGCAAGAAGACAGAGGAAGTAGGACAAGGACTATTTAAACTTTGGATTTTCACCGACTACTGTTGGAAAGTCTTTTTTTTTTTCCACAGATAAAATTTTTTTGTTCATTTTCCCCCAAACTGTGAGACCGGTTCCTATATTTCACTGATTTCCTTCAGTTGTTCATCAGTACAATATTCATTTTCATAAAGAAGTTAATATGAATCTACGGCACATAAATCAAACCAGGGCCCGCGGGCCGAATCCAGCCCACCACATTATTTTATGTGGCCCATCAAAAATTAAATTACTTATTGTAGTCTTAAAATAAAACTCTACCGTCTGTAGTCTGTACTGATGATTATTATACAACATATAAATGGTTATAGTTCTCTCTAATCCCATACAATTTGACGGACAGCTTCATGGTCTATTTACCAAACGAAGCCCTGGTCTAATTATTTCATTGGAGACACAGACAGAAACAACAACAACTTCCAACACCTCTCCATCTGGACGGATCATTCTTCACGTCTATCACAACATCCAAGTGACACACAAACACAGACACATGCTGCAACAAATGTTGACGTTTACCCTGGACTTGTTTATGTTTACACACTTTCTCCTCATTCAGCGCTTCTTACTGTTGTTGTTGTTGTTGTTGTTGTCACTGTAAATGTGACATCACAGCTTAAGTGGTTTTAGGTGGACCCTCCTCTAAGAACACAAACACCACCTAACCTAAGCTAAGCTAACCTGACTAACCAAGACTAAAACAACATTTCGATGATAGTTTATCAAATGTTTCTGGGATGAGATTAGTCTTAAAAGTTTAATTATTTTTGGCCACAAGTTTAATTTTATAAATCAAACGTTGTGATTTTGTGTTATACAATATTAGCAGAGGTGCTAATAGTTTAAACAATACATTGATTTAGATGCTGAGACACACTGTGTCTCACACTAATATAATCCAATTTCATTCAAATCAATTTTATTTCTACGTTAATACACAAAATGTGTCGCTGCTGCCCTCTGTTGGCCATGAGGAGAAAATGCTCAATCGTGTCCGACACATTCAATCACCTTAAAACCAAATATTATTTCGTTGAATCTCGTTGATGAAATTTTTTAAAAACATTTTGTTGCCTAATGCATCATTGGAACATTAAATCTTTACGTAAAGCTGAATATTGTTAATAATTGTCATAAAACATTTCTCTGTTTGGCAGATAGTTATTATGAACGGTTTATTACATCATCAAGCCAGGTCTACAAAACTGGCGTTACCGTGGATGGAGCGCCCTCTCCTGGATATATCTCTGTGTGTGTGTGAAGCTTTGTTATCAGAAATATTACTTCGATTCAATCATTCGTCTGGAGTCGAGGCATCCCAGCTGATATGACGCAATGATGGGTTACACCCCTGTGCCCCCCCCAAACGGCCAACAACTATTTTTTTCATTTTCACTTCCTTTTTTTTGTAACAGACAAGCAGCAATAGAAGATGAGTAAGAGTCTTGCACTTTTTTTAATTCGTTATTGACACGGCCCTTCCACACCTGTCCAGGCCAGCGCACAAAGATATAGATACAAAATATACAAAAGCCAATAGAATAAACAAGTGTAATAAACACGTATCTGCCGTACAATATAAAGTGTGAGTGAACAAAAAGGACAATAAAATAATGGAGTTTCTCATTAAAGTCCGTTCTTAATTATTTTATGATACAAATGTTTTCTGTACGCAAAGCAAAACAGTCGAACTTCCATGTCCAGAAATGCTATTTCAACTTTTTGAATAAAAGCAGTGGTCAGTGTAAAACAACAACAGGACGTGAGGAATAGCCAGAGTATACCAGCTGAGTATAAACTGCTTTATTTACAACTCGCTGCTATAAGAAATAATAAGATGGGAAAAAACAATCAGCATTGATGGATGGTGGTAACAATCAAGCTTCAATTCAGTTTGGTTCAGTTCAATTTGGTTCAGTTCAGGGAGTTACTTTTCTCGTAGACCTCACCAACAGCCTCCTGCAGTTTCTTTACAGACTCCATCACCAGTCGGAAACTTTCACTAAAGTCGCCGTTACCTTCCTTCACCCAGGCTCCCTGCAGCTCCTGAACCCACGACAGGATGCCATCCAGCTCCTTCTGCACCTCCCTCTGCTCCTGCAGTTCAGCCAGCAGAGCCTGTTTGGCGCAGACCTCTGCCTCGTAGGCTCTCTGCAGGTCTGTCATGGACGACTCCAGCCTCAGCACAACCTGACAGTGAGACGTGAGAAAACACTTACTACTGTCTCACACCACATTCATTCAACCTACAGCAGGAACTAACGCACCAAACACGTTGGATTTTATATTCCAGGAGAAAGTATGGTAGATTTACTGAAACTGTAACACTCGATGGGTTTTCTCCTCATTTTCGCACCGCATACTAAGTATTTCTCCGGCAGTACCAACGGTAGGACCAACAATAAGACAGTATAAGAAGACGACGAGTGTATAATTCAGAGCCAAACAACTGCCACTTCCATCTAGTTCTGAAACATGCACAAAAAGATCACATTCCTCCATGTACCACTAGAGGGAGCTCAAGTAACAACTGTGGTATGCGCACCCGAGATTGAGAACCATTGCACTAGATGTGACTTACGGGTATAGATTGTGACATTGTGTGAACTGTGGGGCCACAGAGTTGTTGGTGTCTTGGGTTTTTGTAAAAAAAATAAATAAATAAATACAAATGACGTCTACGACAGTAAAATGTTTTGGAAATACTTGTAAGTGCCTTTTGGTCATAGTTTCAGACATCACTAGTCAAATGACAGAGAGCGTTATTTTATGGTTCTAAACAAATGTACGGTTGTTTCCAGTGCCTGCACCCACCTTCAGGTCCTGCGGGTACTGGTGGTGCGACTGGTCCTCGGGCAGCAGGACGTTCGGCGGCACGGTGAAGCACCGCTTCAGCAACGTCTCCATCCGCTCGGCGAGTAACTTGAATTTATCTTCCAGAAACTGCTGCAGTTTTCGGCTACGCTCTCGGGCTCGGGTGCGGAGCAGCTTCTCCTCGGGGTCGTCAGACTCGCCCTTGGTTTGCTGCCTGACACAGACCTCCTCCACCACGGGTAAAATATCACACAGACAGTCCTGGAAGGCGCTGTAGATCCGCAGCATACACGTCTGCGGAGTGAAGCCGAAAAACTGGGCCTCGTACAGGTCAAGAGTCGGAGAAAGAGAGTCGTCTGTGTGGATCTCACTGTTCGCCTCCATCGCTGACTCTTCCCGCGCCATATCAAATATATGAAGCCGTCCCTCTTCCGGTTTTAGCTCGTGACGTTTATTGTGGGAAAATGGCGCTCTACCGCCACCTACTGCACTGGAATATTAGTGAGTGAATCTTCAACACCAGTCTGTTAAACCTTTTTGTTATCTTCCATGTGCTGCCTGATTTTACATAACTTTATTTTGAATATTAGCAATAAAATCTACTCACATTTATAAACAGAATCAAAATTTTGGTTTTGCACAATTACATTTGTTAAATTCAGCGAATGTTTGCCAGTTTTAACTTAGGTTTAACTTAAATTACATTTGTTAAATTCAGCGAATGTTCGCCAGTTTTAACTTAGGTTTAACTTAAAGTTTGCCACTTATTAATTCTATTTCAGCTCCTCTAGATTTTTTTTGCATTTGATGTAAGAACAGGTGTCAAGGTTGTTTCATACAATCATGTGGATTTTTTTTTCTATTTGACAAAAGGTATTTTTAAGGCTCCCAGCTGGAGGATTTGTATTGTATCAAGGCAGTTAAAGATAATAATGATAATAAAGTTTAATATGAACCATTTCATTCATCTTGGAATTTCAAGTCACAATTAAAGTACATGTAATACTGAACAAGGTAGGATTAATGAAAGAAACACACAGAGTTCAATTTTATAATTTTTTAAAAAAGGTATGAACTTACAGATTGGTGTAAAAGAAGTATACACCAAAAATGTCACACAGACTCACAATTACAAAGAAAACGTTTTTTTTCTTCTTTTTCTTCAATTACAATTATTGAAAAAAAAACCCTATGTACAGAAAAAAGGGCATGGTGGCAAGACAGAAACAAATGTACAGTCTCACAACAGGCTTTCAGTGAGGCGTCTGGAAATGAAGAGCGCGGACCGTTTCTCTGTCTTAGTGCTGCGACGTACTGAGTGTATTTTTCATAAAAAACAAATTCATCCGGCGTCAAGACTTTGACAGAGTGTCCTCACCAAACCTTGATTAAAAAAACTAAGAAAACAAATGACCATGTTAATTAGGAATCAATTCACCGAAAAACAAAGAAAAACATTTTCGACATTACCTTCAAGAGACAGACATAAAAAATAGTGCGACAAAGAAATTAGAGAGATTGACAGGAAGGGTGCAGTCCTGGAGATGAGCTGTTGGTGGAGTGTTGGTTCAAATCCTCAGCGATCAAGACCCTACCGTCACTTGTTTCCTTTAACCCTTAGATTCTTTCACCATTTACAACATCGTGGATTATAATAATAATAAAACTAAGAGAGGAAGAAGGAATCAAAAAAAAAAAAACAGGCTTCTGATCATGTGATGTGGCTGTTGTCTGGTAAACCTCAGGCTGGAGGCATGTAATACATAATTGGAAAACACCATCAACTGAACAGCGCTAATTATCCATCGGTACATTTCTGTGTGGCTCACACCGTGGCTCACAAACAAGGAGAGGGCTACATCCAACCTAAGTTTCTGATTTTAAAAACTAAACTTTTCAACACATTTATTTACAGATGTGCACATGATCTACTCTGGAGGGGATTTCTTACTGGTAAATACTAAATAGAAAAAGTAACATCGAAAGGTGATATTTAAAAAGTTTTGTCCATTATATATTTCCTTATATTTCCTAAGTTCATGATTTCATTTTGTAAGTTTCAAAATTTGCTTAAGATGCCTTTCCTGCTCAATCGGAGACTAAGTCTTAAAGAACCCAAAGTGGAACGACTTGTTAGACAAACTACACAATTGAACAACACGTTCCTGTTGTAGTCCACAAAAACAAGGAGGCAGCGCTAAGGTCACAACATCTGAGTATTTAAGGATCTGTGACCTCACAAGAAGTGTCCATCAATTTCATTAGTGTCAAAAGTGTCCACCAAGAAGGAAGCTAGCTTGCCTGCTAACAGCAAAAACAAAAACAAAAAAACAGTGAGCTGTGTTTAGAGCACACTCTGCTGAGCCACTTGGGAACTGCACTACACAAGAAGTCCAACAACTGGATTTCAAACCTATGACCTAAAACCCTTAAATGTTTTATTTTTAGTGATGTCAGCAGATGGACAAAAACACACAGTGTTTCATCATTAAATCTATAGAAATGGCTTCCTGCAGGTATAAATCAAAATTGGTTGTTTTTGACTGATGCTTAAAACAAAAACAACAGAAATGCAGGTGTGAGATGACAAAAAACAAGTGAAAGTGATTTAAAAAAACCAAAATCTGATTGTTAGTTTGGACACGGGAACTAAATTATTCAGTACAAAACTAGACTCGCCTTCACAAAGTCACAGCCGCCTGAAGACTCCATTTAGACTCCATGTGTTCTTCCAAGACGTTACCTTCACGTGATATTAAGTTTGACAGTTGCACATCCATGAAACGTAATGGGTTTTTTTTCTCAGAGTGCCAGTGAGTTAGTCAGCCTTCTCTGAAGTTCCAAATGTAATGAGTCGGCTTTTCCCCAGTGAAATAAAAATAAAAAAGAGGGCATGTGAAAGTTGGAGTCCACCTAAAACAATGACTTTTCTGATGATCAAAGTTCAGCCGATCTTTGAGCGTTCATTTGAAGTAATAGTTTTCTCTGTCTCGGAGTGGACCGTTTGTGAGGTAAGGTAATTTCATTTTTAAACAGAATGCGTCTCTGGTGAATCTGCTGTCGTCT